CATGGCCACCCCTGCCTGTGGCCTTTCCTTGTGGGAACATGTGTGTTCATATCCATTTACACAGATGCGGGTTTAACCTTATTTTTGCAAAATACAGGGTCTGGCCCCAAAATGCTTACATACCTCAGCAGTTTGCTGTTCTAAGGAATGTCTGGGTGCTCATGGCCACCACTGGGAGAACCTCTTGTGATCGCAGAGGCCAAAGCTGACTTGTGTAAACCTCATGGTGTCCCAATAAATCTAGCATTAAAATATTTATGTCTCCCTCTTCCCCACTTCCTTATTCTTTCCCGTGTGTATGTGTGTGTTCAGTACGGCAGCGCGTGGCCACAACACAAATCACGTACCTTTTGTTCTGATGCCAGGTTTTCTCAAATTACAGAATAGCCCATAATGCACAGTGGAAGCAAATCCAGACAACGACGAGAGGGCCCAAAATGCAAACCAAGACTGTGCCCCCTCCTCCTCATGCCCAATCTTTCTCTAAAGGACAAAATGCTTAAGAGTTGACTTCATCTTTCTGATTTTCATCACAGTAATTTGGATTGAGCCACGTTCAAAGGACACCATGACGTTCAGGGCCCAGACAGCTTCTCTCTGTGGTCCAGCAACTCTCACCGGCCCCTCCTTGCTTTCCCTCCTGAGCAGGAAAGAATATGTCCCTTATTCCCTTCACGTACAATGTTTTTAATAATCACGGCTTAAGAATTTGCACTTAGCTTCTTGTGGCTCTGTGAACACACTGGCTTCAAGACTTGAGTGGAAACACACGTCGTCTGTAGCGCTCGGACTGTGGAGAAAGTGATGACGGGATTTTACTGCAAACAGGTATCAGCCAAGGGACCCTTCCTCCATCTCTGGGCTCCTGGGCCTTCTCAGAAGACAGGGCGCTCACTCTTCTCTGAGTGCCATGTCCAGCCCTGGGCTCCTTTCTCTGCCAGACCTAAGCCTTGGGCGTGCGTCCCTGGGGTCGGTGACAGGAAGGCGGCTCTGGTGCTGTCTGCTGAGGGCAGGCGGATGTCACGAGCCACATCTCCTGACGTTCTTGAAACTGCTTGCTGCCCCCGCAAGCCAGTGCTGCTAAGGAGAAGCCCAGGCTCTGCTGATTTCCAGCTTCACGGAAGGAACGGACTCGTCAGTGGTGGCCTTTGTATCCTGGGGGCTTGAAGCTCCCCATCATGCCTGCAGCTCTGAGGCCGTCTACCTGGGCTGTCCGCGTTGCTGTCCTTGTTTCCTGGGTGCTTCCCAACACGGGGTTGCCCACGCCTGGATGCAGCCTCCATGTGCGTGCTCCTCCCTCTCGCTTCCTGGGAGCTCTTTCTCTGACACTTGGGTTTCCGCCTGGCCGCCCTCCGAGTGCCCGCCTGGTCAGCCACGTCGACCTCAGAACCTTGTCTTTTCTGCCCTCTCCGATGGCGTTGAGTGATGCTACTTAGAATTCTGACGGTGGCCGTCCCTCACCCCAAAATCCGGCCATCCTCTCGGCAGCAGGCGCAGAGCACAAGCGGCTCTGGCTCCCTCTCTTCCAGGTGCCAGCTCTGCAGATGTCTGATGCACTTGCACGCAGCCCGCCCTGTCTGACCACGAGCCCAGGCGCAGGTGTGAAGGGACAGCTTGGGTGGCCACCTGCTACTTGTTTTCTCTGGAAGTGGGCAGGATGTGTAGACGAGTACATGCCCTGGAAGCTGGCATAGAGCTCACGGGTGGGGAGCCCCTGGGGGTGGACAGCACAAAGCGCTTCCACCAAGGTGTGGGGACTCATGCCCCCTTTAGACTGTTGTCCATGAAGGGCCACGGTCAGCAGGTCCCTGTGGCCTGGTTCACCCATGGCTGCTTTCTTTCTGAGACGGGGGTCCTGAAAACCTTCATGCACGGAAGCCCACACAGCATACACTAAAACTGTACAACATCCCTAAGAGAGCCAACTCCATTAGAATTTAGTTATCCTGTGTTAGAAAGCCTATCTCCATGCAAGGGTGTGTTTGCTTCCTGATTAAAACATTTCATAAACATGCCTGTCAGTGGGACAACTGGATGTGGATAGCAAAGTACCTGTGATTCCTTGTGGTGACAGTGTGACACCTCCAGCTAGACCACGGTCCCCCGGCCCACATGTCCTGCTGGCTCTCATGCTTCTCAGGATCACGGCGGTGTTCTTGTCTGTACAGTCTGCCCCTTCCAGCCAGGGAGACTGCTGCCTCCTCACCGGCGAGAACCACAGTCTCATCTACTTGGTCCCACGCTGTCTCTTGAGCTGACTTCCCGGCGCTGCCCCGCTGTCTGGGGTGGTTCTTTGTGGTGCCCGTTCCAGGTTTCTCCCCTTAGCCTTGGGCACCAGCAACACCCCAGGCACTTCCTGAGAGGAAGTCTGGCTTCCAGGTCTTTCCGTCTGCATGACACTACGCCCTGCGTCCCACCCGATGAAATTAAATCAGTAGGCCTGCTTCTCCGTGCAAGCCTCTTTTCTCTTCCTTTTCACCAGTTCCTACACAAGATTCTTCCAGAGTTAGTTTTTTGGAAGTTCCTCTGGTGTATTTAACACACTGTTCAATTTCCAGGCTTTAGCTAACATGCACCTGAGGGGGGCAAAGGAGGCGTCAGAGTGGGTCTTCTCTTGACTGGGGTTCCTTGGGGCCAGGGTAGCACGTGTGGGTTCAGGTCCTCCGTGGCTCCAAGCCTTTGGGTCAGGCAGTAGGCCAGCGACCTTGGTGGAGGTCAGGCTGTGCAAGCCCGGGAAGGCAGGACCTGAGCCCCTAGGGTGGAGAGGTGGGAGGCCTACAGGAAGTGCGGCTCGGAGGGCCTGCACAGGGAGGGAAGCGCAGGCCCCCACAGGGCCGGCCCAGAGCTTCCCAGTTCTTAGGCTAGTGGAGGCTGGGGCCGCGCCGGGCAGGTACTGGGCCTGGGCTCCTCCCTTCTAGCTGGCTGGGGGAGCTGGGCCAGGGCGCCGGGGGGTAATAAATCGCTTCTCAGCCAGCAGCTGCCTGCTCAGGTGCAGGCACAGCTGAGTCGGGTCAGGCAAACACCACCAAGCTGGGTGGCAGTCCTGCCTCTGCCCTTGACTTGCTGCTTGACTTGGTGCCAGCTGTCATGCCTCTGCAGGCCTCGGTTTACCCCCACATACTGGGAGAGACTCGATCTCTCTGACCTCTGAGAGACCTTTAGGGCTGGCTTCTTCACTTGCCCACCCTGCTCCTGCAGGCTGGGCCACAGCCTCTCAGGAAAGCCGCTGCCCTAAGAGCCCCTCCACTGTAGGCCACCCCACATGGGCCACGGCACAGGTTCAGGCCAGGGCCAGGTCCTGGTTCTTGCCTAGAGCTAGCGCTTAAAATTCACTGCAGGCAATATGCGGTACCGGCCAAGCTGCCCGGGGAGCCTGGGGCGCGGAGGGTGGGGGAGCGACACACATCAGGCCCCTGCTCTGGGGTGTGGTGGTGGGAGGGGAAGGGACTTCCGCCAGAAGCGACTTGCCCTTCCTGCAGCAGGCACAAGGGCTGTAGAGGCGGCATCGAAGTGCTCCCTGTTGGAGACTGCTCCTCCCAGCAGGCCATGGGCATCTACAAACCATTCTTGGGTTTTGGGTGGCGTGCAGCAGGGCCTGGAGTACGTGTGTGTGCACGAATGGACCGTGTTCAAGCAGATGTGCTTTTTCAGACCCATGAAGAAGCCTGTCCGTCCGCCAGTCAGACCCTGGCCGTGGCTGCTCCTGGATTGTGGGGTACATACATAGAGCTTGGATGCGACTCCAGGCCGTGTGTCCCCAGCTCCAGGCGCCGGCAGTAGCCGGCACTGCAGTGAAGCTCCTGCGCACCTAGGTGGAGCCCGACCCGCAGTTTTCAGCTGGACCAGCCCCACCTGACCCGCCGGCGCGCCAGGCGGGGGCGCTGCACGGCGGCCGGGGTCCCCGGGGTCCCCCGCGCGGCCCAGTGCGCATCGGC